ATGAATAGAACTCTTTAATGTCAATATAATTCTGCGATTTGAATCACACAGACTAAAGAAGTTGAGGTGCTCTCGTAAGGTGGAAATGTGCTCCAAAGGGAACACCAAAGCTCACAGTCAACTCTGAGTGAATTGAATGCAATTCCAAGTGTTGTTGTTGGTGTCGAAAAGCCGGGTATACCATCTGGATGGTAATCCAACGATTCCGGAAAGAGCAGATTCGTTTGCGATGATGCAAATCCAACAATGTTCTTGTGGGATGAAAATACTGATGATGGTGGTGGTGCTGAATACAATCCTTCATTCCGATCGTCTATTGACCCATCTATCGATGAATTTTTGAGCATGCCACTCCTGAAATAAGCATGCATTGATGATCACCAATAAAACTCGAAGCTCCCGTCTTAAGTAAACAAATTCTTTGCGTTCCACCAAATATGAATCATCTCATTATGCACGCACGTTTAGCTTAATCCATTGAAATGTGCTCGATAATACTCAATGATGTGTTTCTTCATGGTTTCTCGGTACTGTTGTCATTTGCAATTGAAATATCCGATACAAGTGAGACAGGCTATGTCTCAGTGGTAAATCAAAGAAATGTTATCTACACAAGGATTCCGTAAGTTCGAATATGGAAACGCTATTTAGTGCTATAAATTTTAAATTGCAGTGGTGTTTCTTATCAAACATTCCCTATATTCTCGCTTTTTATGGTAGTCTTATGAGTCATAAAAGTCATGCTTCTTTAACAGGTGTCTCGTTTGATGATAATGCTAAAGAATGCAAAAAATGGAGGTGATGATTTAAAAAGTTTGTTGGAACGAAACTGATGGCTTACGGAGCTGCTTCGATGAACGCGGATTTGAGCACTTTCTGTGGGTGTGTATATTCGGGCAATGCAGATTGTGAATTGCGAACGATCGCACTTGGACGCGATCCCTCTGTAATAAAAACAACTTTCGAGATTGTAGTTTTGAAATGCACTCTTCAGTGTTTTTCCATAAGATTAGCTCCCAGTTGCTGTATTATATCACAAGGAACAATTCATTTGCAATAATAAGATTCATGCAATCGAATCACTAACGAGAATTGGTACCTTGTTGGATTTTTTGTCTTTCAATTGGCGAAAACCCTTTGGATGTAGATGCCTGACTGCAGCATTGCAGAGTCTGAAATCGGATTCAAGATAGGAATATAGTGAATTGATCAATTTGATAGATAATTTACAATGCTGAATGTTGTTTCATTGTGCTTATCAATGCCAATTAATTCAGTGATTCCAACTCATTAGGAGTTGGAATGTCTCCCTGTTATCACTGGCATCACAAATATCCCTGACAATCTTCTTTCCACGCAGCTAACGATAACAGTGTTGGGAACTATCAGTCTTCATGAATTTCTAACTTCGATTATTGGTAAACTTGGCGATCAAAGAGGTTTTGAGCTGTAATCCCTGATTGCCCAAAGAATTCTAGGGATAGGGATTCAAAAAGAGCGCAAAAAAATAAATTCCTTTTCTCAGCATTATTAATGTGAATATTATTTGTGTGCTTTTGTAAGCTGTTTCATTGTTGTGATAGACCGGAATATTGTCAATAGGAGTGAGTGGCTATTGAATTGTAAGACTAATGGAATGTTATAGGAAACGTAGACTCTTTCTGACTTGAATACTATGACGATGAATTGACAGTTTTGTATTTCCTAAGCCGAATATGTTATTTTGAAGTATTCCAGCAATCAATAAAAACAATAATCAAAAACCTCCCATAGATATTGAAATGGACTGTTACTATTGGCATGTAATGCACTGTGAAGAATCGAACTAGATGGCAAATATTGAAGCTAGTGTGGTTATTTATCATTAAGGATCAGTATGTTCATAATGTTAATGGTAGTAGTGATGATCAGGGAAATAAGAAATAACGTGATTCGAATGTGGAACCATCATCAACTGTACTTTGCAGATTGTTCACAGCAAAAAGTATCAATCATTAAATTCGTTTCAACACTGATTATGATTCATCGAAACGTCACTCGTATGTATTCGATTTCTAATGCGAATGAACAACAACCATCAAAACATCTTATGTCATCAATAATATTTTCTATATTTGATTCGAGTTTTGAGCAAAATTTGATTCATTGATTTTGTCGGTTCTCGATCATGACAATATTTTACTCACAAATGGCCCTCTAAATAATAAAATATAAACTAGGTGTTCATCTTTGTAATATAGATTCGATTCTTACTGAACGTTTGTTAGAATCACTAAGTGAACTAATTCAAAGCACGAATAAATAATTTCGATCATTCCAAAAATGAATATGATAATTGTATTGCGCACAGTTAATTACATTGTGAACGTTCGTGTTCTGCGGTTATACTGACATTTTATGAAGTTCACTGATTGCAGTTGATCAATGGGTTTGAAATTGGTTATTTATGAACTGGAACAAAATGACTCGAACGAATTAAATTCACCATTTTTGTGCGATTGCCATCGTAACGAATTACTGTTGAGTTTTTTTCTGTCGATGTGACGTGGTCCGATACACTGAAAATTGTCATAATCAAGTAAGTTTATCAGAAAGAGTCAAAATGTGATGAATTCTATAAGAGTTTGCAGTGAAAGTTACATTTGACTGAGTGCAATTTTACAACGTCATCCTCATGTGAATAGTTGTTAGTTGGTTAGATTTAAGACCGCAAGAGAAACAAAGCGTGCTTCAGCAGTTTGGACAGACGTTCTGATCCTATCTCGTAACATTCTCTAGCGATCTTGTGGAACAAATTTTCGTCGCAATGGAGACGAAAATTGTAATTGATGGTTTTACGCAATTGAAACAAGAAGCAGTGTCGAAATCAACTGATGTGACGCATTCACTGTTTCCTTGGAAAAAATTTAAACCGATAAGATTCAAAATTTGAAGTAATTTTCCCATGTCGCAAAAAACAATCAACTGATAATGTTCAGTGGCTTTATTTTGAAGCAACTAAAGTTTATCAGTTGTTTGTTTTTATGGTTGTTCACTTTGTTTACTTATACTCATAATCATTGTTCTGATATGTGGTTACACTGGTTCATTCAGTGTGGCCGTAAAAGACAGTGGATGCTGTCACCACCCATTGCAAGTATAAATTGGTGTGGAAACGATAACATGAAAAAATACTTCACATTGGATTAATCTTATGGTATCGAATGCTTCACATTCTACCAAACGATACGCAAAGAGAACGTATACGTTCATGCGAAGATATTGTTGGTTAGTGAGTCTCGAAGTGGATGTGAAGCGGACAAAATGTGCGTGGTGAGCGTTGTTCTAAATGTCGTTGAAAACAAATGGTTAATATTCCAATGGAATGTCAATAAAAAGTATTCTCAGTTTGATAAGGAAATGATCAGACTGCGTTATCAATTGTCATTAATATCTTCTTATGAATTGAAGTAAAACAAGAACATTTCAAGGAAACACACCGATATGATTGATTCGAGTGCTGCTCATATTCAATAGGAAATTGACTGTAGCGTCGATTGGCCTCCAAAATGCGTTTTGCAGCATGTTCGTCCGAGTTATTCATGTCTGCAATACAAACACCACATTGTTGATCATCGTTCGGCCCCAATCGGAACTCATTCTCTTCTTCATTACGTCAATTCATTTTAATCACAATCAAAAAACCATCATCAAATTTCAAACCATCTATTTATAGCTAGCAATGCAAAGAGTCATTAAATTTTCTACGATTCAGAAAAAAATCGAATATGATTCATTCGTACATAAATGATATTGCACGTTTGCAAAGGCCAGATGTAGATAATTGAAACAATGAGTTTGAAGTTGAAAGTATCAATGCACAATGAACATGAAAGTGCGCAAGAGAGAAGGCATTAGCGAATGACTGTACAACAACGAACCAATTAAGAACGATGTCAAGTGTGAGGTTGATGCACGTGCGGATGCATCAATCGAAAGTGACGGTTTGTTGGGTATCTGAATGAAGGTGTCTGTTGTTGGTGATAGACTGTTGTCATTGCTGCGACTGACAAACATCTGAAGTAAAACTTCCATCCAGAGACAAACAGTAACAACATAGTTCTCCTAGCGGATCAGCAATTTCAACTCGCCATCAAAGACACAAAAAAAATGCAAAACCGAACATATTCATCATCGATTATGCTCATCGATGTTCTAACAGGGGGAAGATCTGTCGTTCCTGTTCCCCCATCTCTACTACGAAAGTGTCTGTCAAACGTGATATGAGCAAAAATATGTTACCAATAAAAATCACTTTTTGGGGTTCGGAATTGATCAAACACGCGCGGATGTAACTGGTAATCATAACGTTCAATGAACAAAATCATTTCTTAAAAATTAGACCTCAAAAAGTTTTGTTAATGCGCTTTCGATAGGCGTTTCAACTGAACACCGATTAAACTTTCTTTTTTTTTGTTGCATTGAAAAAAGAAATCATTTCAAAACAACGTATCACCTCGTGCATTAAGAATAAATAGGAGACAATAAAATGAATCATTTCAACGAATTACAAACTTTCAAATTGATCATCACACGGATCGATCACATAATCTTTCTCTTTCCTTTGGAGTGCACATTTCAGACGTAAATTATGCACTGCTTTACGTTGTTTTCATGAGTTTTCAAGCAAAATCAAGCAACTTCGTACAGTGGATGTTTCTTCCCATTGCAAAAAAAGAGAAATCTTTTCCAGTAACAGATTCGTAGGAATAGTTGATATAAATCCTCTCATTCACCACCTACTCCTCCGAAAATCATTAATGAAACGAAAGCTGACCGAAAAATTCATGTTCTAAAAAAGAAATCCAGCTCTATGTGCTTGAAGCGATATTGTTCGATGCACGGGTTCAAAAAAAAAGTTGATAATTGAGTAACAACGCACTGAGTGTGCAAGTGCGAGACTTCCTGACTGTCCTCAGATCTGCCTCGAGTTAGTAGCGCTCTGCCTGGCAGAGGCTGATCTCAAAAGGTCCATCATACAAGATTGAACTGAATGCGTTGCTAAACCATAGAGTTTCACGTACGTAAACTCAGTGATAGAAAACAACAGTGATATGCAATATTTGCTAGCGTGAGTGTGCTTCGCACAACCTCTTCAACGACTTTGAATTATCTTCAAGTTTCCAGTGGTACGCTTCAGAAGATAACCAACTTTACTGCGCGATGTTCATCTTATCAAAAACAATTACCCATCCTTTATTTACTCCCCCCTCCCCCCTCTCCCACAAAGTCTTTATATACACTTATTAGCAGCATACGATGCAAAAGATGAACGCTTGAACGTTTGCAGCAGTCTATTTGAGGAAGCAGATATTACAATAGAATACGACTTTAAAACTTGATAAAAATGAAACAGCATAATGAAAAGAATTGAAATGGTGCTTGTCGGAAGGCGTATTGAAGTTGTAATTGGTTAATAAGAAATATTTGCGATCGCAGAATGGGATGAGAGTGCGATTGTTGGAATGAGTGGAGCTTGACAATAATAACGGAATGATGATGGATGATTGATCTGAGATGATAAGGACATTGGGGTGTTCCTTTTTTTGATGAAAATTAATGTGGGTTGTGAATGTGAAGGAAGGAATTCGGTTGATAAGAATTGTTTGCGAATATGCTTAATTGGAAGTTTGAAGGAAGAAGAATGAAAAATACATGGATTGCTGCTGAGTAAATTCAACGAGTTCGTTGCGAGTGGAAGTGTGCAAAAAACGATGAAAAACACTGAATGGACACACCCAACGGTGCCCATTTTTTACACTCATCATCAAAAATGCTTCCTTGCTATCGTCGGATGTAGTAGTAGTTGCAGTAGGTGAAATGGTAACGAGTAAAGACAACTTAATTTCGTTGATGTAGTTATTAGTGACAAACAAATGTGCTTTCGGAAAGGCAAAGCCAAACGAAAACGATAGTGTGTTCGGATAACGCGGTAGAAAATAGGATCATGCATGTAGGAGTGAATGCAACACGGTTTGAAGAGAATGTAACCAAGTGAATGGTGTTTGCGAGAGAAGAGATAAGTTGAAGGGCTTGAACGGCTTCAGTACGGAAGTTGCTGATTCCGAATAGAATTATGCCGACGAATATGGAAATTTGATACCAGGACAGTTATCGTCAGACACTGTGAGAAGATGATACGTGGTGATAGAGGTGGTAGATTCCTTAAAGAAAACGTCGGGTGATCGCCCATCCTCATCCCAGTGTTTAGTTGATAACTAATTGGTTGTTAACTGTTAGTTGATAACATGGTAGAGAAATATTGAGTTTTAAGCGTTAAAAGAGTATTTGTGCTGAACAACAGC